TTCGTCAAATATACAACAATATTTTTCTATTACTATTAAAGATATACAAGGACAAAGGACTTGCCTTCCCATTCATTACCTACAGAATCATACTTTCCCAATCCATTAATAAATTCATCCTCTTTCATAATTGTGCTCTCTTCTTTCAAATTTATTTATTTCTTTAAAAAAATTATTTATTTATAATTGGAAAGGGGTTTCGTTTTTCTTTTTATTTTTGTTTACTTATAATTTGGATAAGAGAGCTGTTGGATCATGATTGGTTCCTAACTTTGATTAAAATGTGACTGCGTACGTACGTGCATAAGTATTTAAATAATAACCATTAATTATATCACACCACCAAAGCATATGTACAATGGCATAAAGCATTAAGCCACGCTGTTTACATTATGTTTTTATTTTATTTTATATAAAAATAAAAATAAAAATAAAGGGTATATAATTTATGTGTAATTGTACATATCTAGTCCATTTTGTGCCACATCCTGCTCTTCTTTCTGCAGGCCATTACCTAATTAGCTCTTAAACAAACAAGAAGAGGGAACATAAAGTTACATCACAGGTAGTGGTGTGGTAGGAGGAGATGATCATCACCTTTCCATGCCGCACCTGGCAAACACATAGCTACTCAAAATTTTATTTATTTATTTATTTAAACTACTCTAATAACAGCACACTATAGTGGGGGGACGGAGATTTGGACTCGAGCTTAGAAGAGCACACTATAGTGGTCAACTGACCTAACTCGTAACAATAAAAAGTCTTTTTTAAGGTTGGTTTGGTATACGATACGATTTACTTACATAATTTAAATTTAAAAAAAAACACTAGATTTCCTTTTGAAAGAATACATACAAAATAGTTTGCTATACCAAACAAAAATTATTTTAAAAATCAAAAGAAAATTCTTGATCTAATAACAGACAGAAAATTCATGCAAAAACAAGCGTAATATCACAGCAAAGATGGAGACACGGTACGTGTATTAGGAAAAGCTTGTTTTGCTTTATTCTCAGCACCTAATTATTCTAATTAATTTATTAAGATGATGGAAGATAGAAAGATACGATGGAAAACATATGAAAGATGTGGAAGCAAAACGTCATTATCATACCCATAAAATTCACTAATAAGTTGCTTAATTTATGTGCTGTTATTTATGGTTTGATGGGGAGAGAGGATTTTAAATTGGCCATACATTTTGCATGAAATAATTTCATATTTCTGGGAAATGTTTTGACGGGTCACCATTTTTTTCTGGAAAATATTTGGATTGGATCGATGATGCCGTGGATCTACTTGTTCCCAGAAAACAAAAAGATATTGCTTAAAATAAGAAAATGTATGAAAAGAGTGTTTTTGAACAAAAATTTCGTGAAAATGGATGATAAAAAAAAATATATATATTCGATAAATAAAGTGAGCGGAGCCACAAAATAAAACTATGTTCTGCTCACCAAATTCTCCCTTGAAGATTCTGTGGATTTGATCCTTGACAGATTCACGGTTTTTGTTTTGTGGATAAAAAAACTTGCGTATTCTATTTTTAAAAAAAAAAAAAAAAAAAAAAAAAAAAAATCAATTTCTTGTCCATTTGAAAGGAAAGATGTTAGAGATATGCATAGGCATGAAGAAGAAGAGGAAATATATTACTACCATTGTTAAGTTTACTAATAAGAATTATGGTACAAGTGAACACAATTCCTTGTACTTTATATATTAGAAGATGTTTTGAAGTTTGAATACTCATTTTCGTTGATTTTTCGAAAGATTGGTTTTATGGCGAAATAATTTAAATAAAATTAATATGAAAATATTCATATTTTCATTTACATTTATATAAAAATAAAAAGTTCTTACAAGATTTAATTACTCACATTTACAGGGAAGCCAACATGGTAGTTGCTCTTTTATTAACAAAAAAGGCATTACTATAATCATTCTTGTATTTGGTTGGCTCGTTTGAGATTGCTTCTCTAGGAGTCACTTCTGCTCATAAACACTTCTAGCAAAAACGCTTTTATTATAAAGATGTTGAAATTTTCATAAGAAATCGAAGTGCTTCCTGAAAAAACATATGGTATGTGTTTTCTCCAGAGAACGCTTCTATGGCCCAAAAGTAATTCTGAATTTTTCTGCCAAACATTATCAGAAATGTTTTTGGTTATAAAGAAATGTTTTTAGCCATTTCCCTCCCAAGCACATTCCATTCCAAAGCAAATGTCAAAAAAAAAAAAAAAAAAAAAAAAAAAAAAAAAAAAAAAAACCCTCCCAAATGGTGCTGGATAACTTTCCTCTGGATATTATTACTAGAGTGTACCTTGACTTGTATGGTATTAAGATCCCGGGGAATCTAACTTTTAATCTATTTTTGTTTTATAAATAAATAAATAAAATATTATTATGATTAAATGTTCAAATAACTTAAAATCCTACTCATTCAATAAAAGGTTCGAAAACATAAGTGGATTCACATATATTAAAACCATCTATCTGATAAGCAAGTGAAAGAGACCCACTTCAAGTCTTCAACCTCAAGGTGGTTTGGAATTTACTTGGACCTTAAAAAATGATTAAATTAAATAAAACACTCCTAATTTCAATAATTAAAAAGAAAAAGCCCCAACGGAAGAAAAAAATAGTAGAAGATTGGACGGCGGCTGCGACGGTGAAGTTGGTGTGGGCCGTGTGGGGTAATATGGTAAACACCTGCGAGTCCCACAGATAGAGCTTTTATACTATATAACACAGTCTTGTTGACCATGTCGTCACTGTCCTCCACAGCCCTCGATCTTTGACTCTTTTTCTGATCCAACGGCTCCAATCTCTCCCAGTAGGACGGCACTTCACTTTGGTTGTTGTTCCTAGTTAAGCTTCCAAAGCCAGAAACTCAAACAAAAAAAAATAGATAAAATGAAAAATGGAAGTCCAAAATGACAAGGGACTTCTCTCTCTAGGCCTTGGATCATTCACACAGACGCTTTTGCCTCCCTCTCTCTCCCTCTCTCTCTCTCCTAAGAGGAAAAGCCTCTTTTCCTCTATCTCTCCCTCTGTAGAGTCTAAAGACTTCAACTTTTGGATTCTGGGTATTCAAAGGAAGCAGAAGAACACGGAGAAGGATTAGGTAGAAGCAGAACAAAGAATCATCAATTATGCTTTTTTAACACCTATCTGAATTCAATGGTGGTTCAATTATATTGGGTTTGTTTTATTTTTTCAATATGGTTTAGCTTTGATAATCATTTCTGGTATATGTTAGATGAGTCTTCATCATCATCATCATCATCATCTTCTTCTTCCCTTTTTCTAAACACCTTCGTTTTTCAGTTATTTTTGTCTTTTAATCAATAATTAAACACCCTCCTTTGGGAAAGCCTGGTATTGTTTTCATCCTTTTGGACTATTGGAATAGTTCTTATCATTTTACGTTTTCTCTTCTTCTATCACTTTTTTTTTCCTTTTTTGATGAGGAACTCTGATCATCATCACTGCCTATTTTTTCTGCTAGTTTTTCTTTCTTATCAATAACAATAAGTATTGTTCTAAGTCCAAACCTGAAATTTTCTGTTTGGTTTGTTGGAATATATATGGAGGAGAAATGATGATAACTTTCTTTTCCCTCCTTTTCAATGGTTTTTATTTTCGAGAAAATTCAGCTTTTTTTTAATCTTTTCATGTCCTTAAATCACGGGGAAAGAGTCTTTCGGGAAAATAGAAAATAAGATCATTTGTGTGGAGAATAATTCTAGAAAAAGCGTTTCCTCACAACAACTAGAGACCCACTTTTTTGGGATGATATATGAGGCATGTGGCCATCTGGGTCCTTTTTTTACTCATTCCTTCGTTCCTTTTTATGTTTTCACACAATCAAAATTTTGGGTTCGCTTTCCTATCAAAAAAACTGTATTGGGTTCTCTTCTCTTTGTACCAATGACTCAACTAATGATAACAGAGGTCTTGATATCGTTGTTGTGCCTTGTTAATCCTTTTTCATGAGTGTTTCATACTTCTATGTAATTATCATTGCTTGTTTCAGCTTCTGATAATCTGATTTCTGGCATGTTGCAGCTTTTCTTTATTGTTCTTTTGTGTTCTGCATAGAAATTTTGCTCTTGTTGATATCTGGTGTATTGCTAGTTCTCTGAATTCTGCAATTGTTTTCTATAGTTTTGGACTTGGGAGTTTTTTTTCCTTCTTAATAGTGGAATTTTGTGTTTAAAAAAAAATGATTGTGGTAAAGTAACAAACTTCTGTGACAATGTTAATGAAATCTCTCTGAAATGCGACTTTTTTAAGGTAAAAGAAGGCTTATCCTTTATAGCTGAGTAAGAATTTCAGGTATTATAGTAGCACTTCTCAGAATGGAACTAGGGGTATGTCTTCGGCCAATGTAACTGACAACAACTAGGAAACTGTTTGGTGGGCTTTACTACTTCTAGCAGAGGAAATGGATCAATATTTTTGGCCTACAGTTTCATTTATCATCAAAATCTTGAAATTTAAACCTTGATATGATGCTTGAAATCTGAACCTTAATCCTTTAAAGAATCCAATTTTTGTTCATTTATGCCAGTGATTTTTCCTTCCCTCTGTATATTGTTGGTTTACATTGGATAGTGTGTTCCATTCCATACCGATGACGTAATGTGGTATTCATTTCTTTGTGAAAATTTTGCTTACATATGAGTGTGACACGTGAAACATATTTGTTTTGTTTTAGTTTCTCCTTTGCAGTTGTTCATGGGAGTAATAGCTATGAAATGTCTGTCATCTTCTTGTTTCCTTGTCTTTCCCCTTCCAAAGAAATTTCCAATTCTTAATACTAAGGTTTCTTTGAACACTATATGATAGTTCACCATCTAAATCTAGATTGTGTATCACTAACAATCTGCATAGGAACTTGGAAGTCTTTTGTCATTTTACTTTGGAAATAGCACTGATGATCTTAAATATTTATGTTACTGTTCTTACAGAATTGAAGGACACAATCAACATACATGGATGAGTATTCCGGTAAAAGAGCTGTTGATAGGCTTGTCTCTAAAAAGGGATCTGGTCTTGTTTTGAGGGAAACTCCAAACAGAGACCGCAATGCTCAGCTCTGCAGCCGACTGGGATGTAGTGGAAGATTGAACACCGTGAAAGGTGCTCAATTTGAAAAGGCCAAGTCGTCAAGGCCTGCATTCCGCAGTACTTCAAGTGGGAAAGAGATAATTGGAAGTTCCTCTAGGTCTTGCATTGCTGTTGGCAACACAAGAAAATCCATAACAGAACCTTGCAAAAAGCTATCTTCTAATTTGGAAACAGATTCATCTGAAACCAGTAGTGTTCAGGATGATCCTGAAGTTTCAGAGCTTGCTCCCCCACCTGGAAAGATTCAAAGAGGGCTGCACCCTGAATCTAAAAATGCTGAGTCCAGTGAGGTCACCTTGATGGAAGTTGGAAGCTCTGATGTAGCATCAAATACAAGATCTCGAAGGAGTTTCAATCAGAGATCTGGATTGCGAAACCAAGATTCCTTAGTTGGGTCTAATGTTTCTTTGGGATCTAAAAACACCAGCCAAGCAACACGGGCTAGCACAACCAGGAATGGTTTAAGAAATCTAAGATGCAATTCAATGTCCGATGTTGTCCCGTCCAGTTGTTCATCATCAGATTCAAGCCTCAATAGAAGAGAGACCATAAAGAAAAGAATTTCTGAAGGAGAATGTAGCTCTGCTGCTAGGGGGAAGAAGATGAATGGGTCATCATCAGCAGGACAAAACTCCAATTCTGGCCATGGCATCTCAATTTCTGATTCAAGAAGAGTTAGGAATATGCCTTCTAACAGGGATAATGGTGCTGCATCAGTTAGGACTCGGCGAACCGTCACTGGTCACTCGAGGGGAAGGCTTTCTAATCAAGGAAATGGGAACAATTTATCAGCCAATGGATCCCCTGTAGTTGGCCCGCAGACGTCTCAACCTGAAATGTCTATCAACTTGAATGCTCCTAGTTCATTACAACAGTTATCCCATGAAGCTCCTTTAATTCGGCCAAATTCTTATAGTCGGCCAGGTAGTAGCAGTGGGAATTTACATAGCATTATGCGAGCTGGTGCTGCAGATGTTGGCTTTTCCCGCTCTCAAATGAATCAGGATGGACTGCGACGCTACAACATGGATGGGATTGCGGAGGTATTATATGAATTTTTGATGTACATTTGTGTGGTCTTATGACTTGTTGCCTTGTTGGAGAGATTCACAAAAGAACTGATGTAGTAGTGTGGTTTCATTCTTTAATCTGTCCATTTCACAAACTGTGCAGGTATTGCTGGCGCTGGACAGGATTGAACAAGATGAAGAGCTATCATTTGAGGTAGTTATTATAGAGTTTTTATGTTCACTTGCTTTTCTTGGGTCAAATATGTACACTTAATTGGTTGATTGTTCTTTAACTGTTCTTTTTCATAATGCAGCAAATACTTGTTCTGGAGACCAATTTGTTCCTGAATGGCCTAAACTTCTATGATCAGCATAGAGACATGAGACTGGATATTGATAACATGTCATATGAGGTTTGCTATTGCTGCGCACTGCAATTCAGTTTCCATAGAAATTATCCATAGTATCTCTCATTGTTCTATTTTGTTTCAATACAATGCTGGCGTAGTCATGATGATGCATCTAAACTTTTTATTATCATCAATGCCTCAAATAAATCAATTCAAATAATCAACTAGTGGTGGGTTCAGAATAACACAATCTGGGGCAACCTTATTACGTTCAGCTGTTTCCTTTACAGTATTTCACTACTTGGATGGCAGGAATTATTAGCTCTAGAAGAGAGGATGGGTACTGTCAGCACAGCATTGCCAGAAGAAGCATTGTCAGATTGCCTTAAGAAAAGCACTTATCAGTTTACACCTCCAGAAGAATCATCCATAGAATGTGATGGGAAAAAGGATGATGTCAAATGCAGTATCTGCCAGGTCTTTTTCCCGTTCTGATTTTATTTATTTTTCTTGTAAAAACTAACCATGATATATCTGGAAGCACCTCTGGGCCTTGCTAGTAGTGGTTCATGCATGAGCCGAAACACAGACACTGTAGCTAACATTGTAACTGCATTTACCTTAACTTAGCCGCTCCTTATTCAACTAAGGCTAAAGTTAGTTGCAGGGTACAAGGAAAACAGAATTTACATTGGGCTTTAAGAAAATTTGGGCACTAAGTGATTATTTGAGGCCAAACTAACAGGGTTGTCTCTAGAAATTTCATCCTAAACCTGCACTATCCCAAGTCAGTTCCTTGGTTAACTCAGAAGTTAGAACTAGCTCAACATGATTCCAAATGTTATTTAACATCCTGTAAAGTTTAGAGTGGATGTAATTGGATATACTTCTCAACACTTAATTTGTTTTTTAGGTGCACCATTTGAGTCTGATTCTTAATATATAGAGAGTAATTGTTGTTGGTCTTTTTTTTTCTTTCCAGGAAGAGTATGTTGCTGGAGATGAAGTTGGAAGGTTACATTGCGAGCACAGTTTTCATGTTAACTGCGTAAACCAGTGGCTACGGCTTAAGAATTGGTGCCCTATATGCAAGACAGCGGCAGCACCCTCGAAACCTCCACCCTCCACATAAATTTAATTATTAAGTCATTTGGAGGAGAGACCTTTCTCATTGTACAAAACTTGCTTCTCTTCCTTTTCTTTTAGCTCTTACCCTTTTCCATGTACATACCAATTCTCTTTCATCCCATTCAACTAATAAATCCAAGCTGTTGGTGTTACAGCGGGAATCAGCATTCACTTGTGGAACTGTGAATACATACAAAGTGGTGCTGTTCATCAAATACATTTCTTTTTCCTTTTTCAATTTAGTTTGCAACATTTGGATGCATGACATGTCGGATTTTTAGTTTTCCCAACTATTGCTGGCAGTGATCAGTATGCAATGCTCTAAACTTCATATGATCTTCAACATGCAGCTCCCCTTTTCAGTGCAGATTGAATGCTGGCAGGGAAATTTGGTTTTTCTTTTCTATAATCAGAATTTACCAGTTATTTTTCGAACTTGAACTTGATTAAAATAAACTGATGAACACACTTCTGAGTCGTTCTGCCATTTCAAAGACAAATGAGTTTGGTGCTGTCTGTCTGGAACACTAGGGTAACAGTATGAGATATTGATCTTGGACAAATTTTGAAAGTGATGTTGGAAAAACAGTGATTGAAATTCCGGTTCAGCTCGAATAAATTTGCCAATAATATATGTTCACTAAAATATTTTGGTATTGTGATCCAAATACCCTTCCATGATACGGATATTAGGTAATAATATTAGCAATCTTCGCCTGTTTCCTGATCTCAATCACAAACTGTTCAGAGCTCTGTTTTTATTTTTGTGGGAAGAATCAAATAATATTTATGGGATGTCACAGAATCATTTTTCTTTGCAAAAGATAAAAGGGTAACCCCTAGAAAAGGCTCAGTTGGTACTGCTCGGAAATGTCACATATAGGCCAACAACATGAATATCCTAAGATTCCAAGTGTTGCCTGCACTTCTCATGCACAAGAGCCACAGAGAGTAAAATACGAGTCTATGAAAGAAGGTTCTCACAAAACTCGACGGGCAAATCCATGGTTAATAACAGTCTCGTTGACTTGATCATCACGGATTAAGGAAATTATGGTCACTTAATCCAAAGGTGAATACCGATCCATGTCTTTTTTTTTCATTAGAAACACTGCCTCAATGGGTGTGGAACCCACAAAATTACCCCAGAACAATGCAGAAATAAGAAGAAGAAGAAGAAGAAGAAGAAGAAGAGAGAGAGAGAGACAGAGAGAGACAGAAGAAAAACACCCAAGTCGCAGAGACCCCTCAACTTGGTCCTCAATTAGCAATATTGAAAGATAACATAAGCTACCGCAGTGGGAAAGGAGAAATGTAACATATAGTGCAAAACCAGGGCATTTCTATGATGCATTTTAGAACTTTCTTCAGAGCTTTGTCCACTTTGAAAATTCAGTAACTGAGGTCCACATGTCTCCAAGCTTCCAAGTTCCAAGTAACCATGGCCTTGTCAAATGAAGACACATCTCAGACTGGTTTAGTGGGCTTTGCCACTGAAGACTCCAACACCAGCAGTGACGTAGGATGATGTCATATAATGAATGCTACCCATTAAACAACTAATGACCAACAGTTCCAGAGACAAGTCACCTATGATCCCAACAGCCACATCAGATGGTTCAAACCAATTTATTTGTCCCTGAGATTCTGTTTGCGTCCATTCTCCCATCCCATAGCAGCACAAATGATTGGATTTTCATTATCATCAGCTTTATAAACACGTGTATGGGTTGTAAGTCATTTCATCAATAACAGATATCAGACAAAGTAATCTGAAGCTTTCCTAGAAATTGCAGAACAAATATTTAATGAAGATGCAGAAAACAAAGCCTCCTGTCCTGTGAAGTCATGCATTTTCAATCTATAAAAGCCATGCAGCCATCCCCCAGTTCCCAACCTATCCTAGACAGGCAATTCAAAGAGTGACCAATCAGAAACCTGACCAATCGGCCAAAAGAAACATCCGGACCTGACCCATCATCAGTCCTGTTATTTTTGGTAGCAAACAGTAAACAACTAAAACATAATTAAAAGAAAGTTACAGATAAAACTAGAATTGGAAATACCAAAATTAATGTTTCAAAAGTAGCAGAAAAGAAGGCAAGGAAGAGTCAGAGACAAATGCATGAGAAAGAAAATTCATCTGTACATGTACAAACTGATGAAATGAAAAGGAGAGAACACATGGGGGCTACGCTTATTAGCATAAAGTGATAAATCCAAGAGTTAATTTCCATACCTATAAGAGGATTGATTAGGACTAATTAAGTCAAGAATTGATACCAAAACAATATCCAGAGAAGTACCATTTGTTCAACATTGATTACATGGCTTGATGCTGCATTTACCATATGTCCCATACTCACATTGCAGACAAGTATATAGATCTGCAGCTCAATACTACACCGGAATTTGATGTGCACATAGCAACAGAATGTTCTTATTAGCACTGTTACCCTTTTCCATTTTAGTTATAGTTTTCTAGATATAATTTATCCATTTTTTGCTTAATTCCTCACAATGAAGCTCAATCCGTCACGGCTAGTTTTTCAAATTTGAAACAGGGCAACAGCTGAATTGGATTCCAGTCCTGGTCGTGTAGAAAAAAACACTTCATTTTTTAACAGCAATAATGAGATAAAAACAGCTTACCAATCAAAAATCAATTGCCAGTAGTTTCAGACATGTGAGTGATTGTGTTTCTGTTTTTGCATGCTGAAGTATACCCACCACAATTATTTGCATGATCAATGGTTGAATATACATTCACATATCTCTACGAGAACATCTGAGTAGAGAATGATCATTTGGCAGCTGGATATTTTGAGAACTATATTCATGCCGTAAGGCATTGACCAAAAATAAATAAATTCATGCCATAAGGACAGCTCAATTGATGTCAATGTGTTATTGATATTGAAATTTCAATCAATTCTAAGATTCTAAAAATACATACAGAGCATACTGCAGCTCTTACACAAGCGATTGTACCTCTCACCAAGCTACAGAACAGTATCCCTGCAAAATTTTCTTATATTTCCTCTTCATTGGCTGCAATTACAGTGAAAGCTTGAGATCTGGTGCGATAGCAAATACAGCAGCATCTACGTTAAACATACAACAGAACAACCAAACATGGGCATTCAGTTTGAAAGCACCCCTTGATTGGTTAAGTTAGATAATTCTGGATCGGTTCTGGCTCCGCAGCAAGCAAATTCAGACATTTGATGCTCAAACAGATGATTTCACCTTGCGAGACCCAAAACTTTACCCACTTAGGAACCATCTGGTGCGTCCTGGCAATGATATTAGAATTATTTGTATCAATGATCTCGAACATCTGGTGGTGTCAGGACCTTTGAACCAGAACAGACCGACCCAACCACAATGTTGGGATGAATATATCTTCACAGGGATGTTTCATTCCTCGAATGCTTGCATACAAATCTTCTCCAGCAGCAATGACCAGTCTTCTCCAAGTTGCTGTGGATTTAGCTCCATTGCAACCTTAAAATCAAGCAAAGATATTGAACACCGTGGTCTTTGCTCTTCCACGGGGCCACTGCCACTCTGCATATGCAAGTGATTGCTTGGCCACATGCCATTGATGATCTTTCCTTGAATCTGCTGCTTTGGTGCAGTACTCTTTTTTGGCTCTGATGTAGACCTTGCTCCCACCAACTCAACACAGGACCTAATCAGTCGCTTTAAATACACATCCAACACATTATTCAGCATATTGGCACATTCTGTAGAAACACCTCCAAGACCCTGTGCTGCAGCAATCTGCTCCATTCGTTTTCTAAGCGTCTCTGAATCTGACAATCCCCCATTGTCATAATAGCCAACGAAATCACAGCTGCTACCCACAGGCAAAGCTTTGCGGGCCCCACCTACGCTGGCTGGGTAGAATGGGATCCCAAGTGGCGCAAGTAGAGGACTCCTTGAGAAACTTAAGCGGTTTGATTGTTCCACCTCTTCCTCATCTTCAATAACAGCTAAGTTAGCCTGGTCTTTGCTGTGTATCCGTGGTTTTTCTATGGGTCGCCGAACTGCACCATCTCTTTCACTCTCAGGTAGCTCAGCAACTGGTTGAAGATGCTGCATTGGTCTCTGATAATCATATGGATGCACATCCCCATTTTCCACAATAACCTTACTGCCATTATCCTCTGAACCTGTGGATTGATGTGACACACTATCAACCTTCCCATTTGGTCCAAGTGGGCTTGGTCTATCCCTTAGCTTCCGATCGCGCATCCCGGACCTACCCTTTCGTGGGGACACTGGCAAAACCCCATTCTGCCAAACGGGTACATTTTGATTTTGATTTGGAAAGAGGGTCCCACTTTGCTCCTGCCCATCTTCTCTACTTGGAGAACTGTTTGCAGCTTGTATCGCAGGTTTTGCAGGAACTGATGAATGTATTGGTGGTGGGGTCTTGGCTTGGCATGCATTCTTCAAGATTGACCGTATAAAATGATTGTGCAGTGGCAAGTTCTCACTTCCTAGCACCCGGTGACACAACTTGTCAAATTCCTTCTTGCTCAGCTTCTGACTCAACAACCTATTCAAGTAATTAAAGTACCGCTTTGACCTCTCGGCCCCAATCCTCTTCACTATCTGCGCTTTCAAATCACCCAAATCAATTCTAGAGAACTGCTGAGGTTGCATTTCTCAACAAACAGATTCATACACCATCCACAAGAAACTGCAAATCCCCCAGTAACCCCACCAGAAGCCAAATTACCGTTAATACTGTTTCCAGAAAACCCAGAATTTGCACTCCTCCATATCGTTCATTGCAAATCAATCTCAACACTCTGCATATCCCGACAAAGAGGCACACACCATCCACCAAATCAAAAAAAACCCCCAAAAACCCCCAATCTCAAACTGGAATACGTTTACCCTTGTTTCCAAACGACCCCAAATTGTCCCACCCACAAACCACACAATGCAAAACCAAATCCCATCTTCTCAAGACCAAAACCCTAGAGATCAACCCCAGTACACAGCTCGCTAAATCCCAACAAAAAGACACATAGGCAAGCTTAATTTATTGAAAACCATTATAAATCAAAAACCCTAACTTTGAATCACCAAAATTTGGGTTCAGACGACCATACTCTTTACAAACTCCAATGAACCGTAAATTACACCACCGCGCCAATCCAAACCCAGAATTTATTTCACGCAATTCACAAGCTTTCAACTTCAAGACACGAAATTTGAAGTTCAGGGAATGAGATCAGTGAATTGGAAGGATTGAAGTTGAGGAAACAGAGCTTGAATTGCAGAAAAATCGAATTGCAGAGGAACAAAAAAGCGCAATGAAGCGCCAAAACAAAAAATTAAATAGTAAAGCTTGGGGAGTGTGTGTGAGAGAGGGCTTTCGAGATTGATTGAACTCTGACCTTAACGAGCTCGGCGAATTGCAGAGAAAATCGAACCTTAGTGACTTCGGAGCTTTGCCTTTCGCTTTCTCGCTCTGTCTCTCTTCGGCTCTTTTCCTCTTTTTTTTCTTTTTTCTTTTTGAAAATTTCACTGCTTTTTTATTTTTATTTTTGGTGTTGCTGATTTATATTCGAACTTCGCTCTGTGTAGCTCTCGATCGCTTCTGCTAATACTCTCTCTCTCTTTCTCTCTTTCTTTCTTTTGTTTTTCTCTCTCTTCGTTTCTCTCTCTCTCGGTAGCTCTCACAAGGTCTTCATTTTTTTTTTTTTTTTTTTTTTTTTTTTTTTTTTTTTTTTTTTTTAAAAGTGAAAATAATTTAACTTTTAATTTTTAGATATTTCTTTATATTATTTTTCACGATTTTTGAAATTTGATTTCAGAAGTTTTATTACATGCAAATTTCAAATCTTAAAAATTAGGTCAACAAACCAGTAGTTGTGTTGTGACATATAGAGTGTATAACCCAAATAAAAAATATAATGAAAGTGTAAATAGAGTCTTTTAATTTGAACATGAACTCTTTTTTTTAATTGATTTGTATTTTAATACACTATTATTTTACGTATTTATACTTTAAAATGAAGTACGTGTATTTTGATATATATGCATTTTTAAATTATTGAAAAATTAAATATAACGGTCATTTACTTTACATATATAGATATAAATGCGAATATTTTAAATTTAAATAAGTTATATAATATTGGGCTATTTATGTACTCATACAAATTGATATTTTTTTTTCCTTTCCTTTTAGTAACAAATTAATTTGACAGTTTTTGTGGTTAAAATTGTATCATTCGGGAAACTTGCGTGTCACGAGATCACTCTATTTCTGAGCATCTCATCCGTTGAGAGATGCACATGGAAAGAGGAATTATGACCTCATTACATGTAAGTTTTGGCCCATCAAAAGATCTTTAGTCTATAAATTGCTTTAACTTAGTTTGAGAATTGTGATTATCCTAATCTTCTAACAAACCAACTTGAGTTTGAGCTTCATTTCTTGGTTTAAGACGAACTCAAAAAAGTAAGAGCAGGGCAATATTGATAATTTTTTGTAAGAAAATGTAGAGAGAAAGAAGACATAACCCACTATAAAGGACAAAAAAAAACATGACATGAGTTTTATATACTTTTGAGAAATTCTCTCAAAATATCACTATTATTGTAGTAGAGTTCTTAAATAGTACTATTATTGTAGCAAACAATTCTATTATATCAATATTATATCGATATGATTCCTTGATACTATCAATATTATCTCATTATTTCGATAACAAATAGTCTCAAATAGTTTTTGTTTTAAATTTATTTTTGGACAAAGTCTCAAAGAGCGTTGGTCCGGAAAGAAGCTCGACTGAAAGCAGGTGCTAACTCGATCCCGATTCTCTTTCAAAGGAGGTGCCATATCCCGCGAAGGGTGAGAGTTCACCCCGGTCTACAATGTTACACCTTTGGTAACCGGGAGAATCCGAGTCTGACGTAGTGGGAGACTCGATCCGCTGCGCCAATTAACTCTAGATTTTTGCATCCACATAAATAAAGTATCAATATTATGTCAATACTATTGATATTGTTGATTTTCTACAATAACATTGTTATTTGAGAATTTTACAATAATGATAGTGGTATTTAAAAGATTGGACATTTACAAGATACTTTTATAACGGACCAATGCACCTATAATAAAGATACACAACAACTACTTATTGAACTCATCACAAATATATATCGCCATTGTCATCCATATAAGTCAAATTTGAGACCTCCTCCAATCAACTGGAGACAAATACCACTGTATGAAAGACTAGTTAGTGAGGTGTGATTGTTAATTAAATGTAATGTTTTCGCATGCAAGTTCATCATTTTAAATTTTAAAACAATTTTCAAATTCAATATTAAATACTTCTTGTATATTAAAAGATATTGAGAAGTGAAAAATTTAACCGAAATTTTCAGAATTGCATTGTAATATTAAAACTTATTTTTGGACAATGAACTAAATGGCTCCACACTCAAAGGGATCTAACGAAAATGTAGAAGTCAAAATATTTATGAATTTGTTCAAATTTCGTAGGTATTTTGTTTTGGTGTCTAAAAGGAAATTTTAATTTCCTGTTTGTTTGTTTTTTTCTCAATAGAAAAACGCAAAAAGAAAAAAGTACACATTTTCTTTTTCTTTAAATGGAGGTAAGAAAATAATTATTGAAAGAAAAAAAAAACAAAGATGAAATTCTTACTAGTACCGAGTTGCCTCATTCGGCCCTGTCTGCGAGCGAAGGACATTGAACTCTACTTGGCGGCCCAGTTCGTTACCCGCCCTTAATATCGGTTCGGGTCAAGTAGATTTTACCCGATTTCCAACGAAGCCCTAATTTTGATTCCGGCGAGCCAATCAGAGCTTGTTTTTCTCCCCACCCTCCGGCCCTTCACCTTCTCTCTCTCTCTCTGAGGGAATGGATTACAGCGACACAGAAGAGCCGTACAGGAGGAGACCGAGGAAAATGGCTTATCTTGGAGACTCCTCTCGCAGGGTAAGCTCTTTTGTTCATAATTCTTCGATTAATTTACTGTAAATACATATTTTTGCTGAGATATTGAATTGATTTTTTTGTTTTTGTTTTCTTATTTATATTGATTTCTTCACCATTGCTTCAGTTACTGTTATTTTCAATTGTATCGCTGCAAATATGACTTGTTATGGATTGCTGAGTACAATTTCTGCTGAATAATGCAGCAATTTGAATCTCTAAGCGGACGTCCCTATGCCCTAATGGGAGACATGGTAATGGTTTTTACTTGTCACTCTTATTTTTGTTCATTTTTAGTGTGATATTTTATTTTTCATTTTTAAGTTCATTGGAGTTTGGTTATTGTGATTGGTACAGACAATTTGTTGCTATTAGTGCTTTGGTGTTGTGTAGGATTTTATCACAAGGTGGTACTTTTTTGTTGATTTGTAACAGAGTTTTCTGCAAGAGGAAGACATTTCGTTAGATGCAACACGGGCTAGATGTAACAATCTATTTTCATATTTATTTGTCTCCGTTCTGTGTTGCATATATGTATAAGAATGTTTCTTTATTATGAAGCGGCTAAAGCTTTTCCTGTACTTGATAGGGACAAATGTTCTCAAACGGCATAGTGACTTAGCAGAGCGTCTTTCTAGGTAAGGCTTTCTCGGGAAATTTTTAACTCTTCATTCATCATCGAGCTTTTGGTTATTGTGAGATCATAGTTACTTTTATGGAACTGTTATTGCTTAAAAATATTATGAAGTACTCATGTTTTGAGTGACTTAAAATTCCAAAGGCTTTCTTGGAGTCGCTCCTCTAGACTCAGTAATATATGCGTTGTGTAAACTTTGTTCATCTTTGTCATACATGTTTTCGGAGAATTTCACTTACTAAAATCCTATCATTTTAGAGAGTATGTATGTATGCAACAAAATAGGAGAAAAAAAATATTGTCGAACAGTGGAAGAAGAAAGTAAGAAATCTACTAAGAAATCTTATTGCAAATCTATGTTTATAACTGCAGGCATTTTAGATGCTTTGGCCACACACAAAATGGAGTCCAGTTCCTTGATTATCTCAAAAATGTGGGTAGCACTGTTTCTTCGTATATTTCTATCTTGAGTATGAGATTGATTATTATACACTGGTCATAGAAACTCACTTCAAATATCTTTCGGAAAAAGACCAAAAACATTTCTGAATCACGTGATTCTTTCGTATGAATTTTGTGAATTTTGGGCCCATTAACTTTTTTTGGATTTGGGCCTTTTTGATTCATCATTCTTTTGCATGAAATTTTGTATTATTGAAAATAACCAGAAGAAATTGTAATTTTATAAATTAGACAGGTTTGATGAATGATAGGTGAATTTAAGAACCAATTTCGACCTTGAGATAATTAACATAGCCTTATTATGGTTCTTTCTTTCTTTGTGATTAAATGTCAAGTGCAATAACATTTTAGCTTCAACTGACTTTTGTGATCCCAAAGGGTTTACTAAGCTGTTCGTCAATGACCTTCAGATCTTTTACTAAGCTGTGGGTAGCACTGTTTCTTTGTATATTTCTATTTTGAGTATGAGATTGATTATGATACACTGGTCGTTGAAACTCACTTCAAATATCTTTCGGAAAAAGATCAAAAACATTTCTGAATCATGTGATGCTTTCATATGACTTTTGTGAATTTTGGGCCTATTAACTTTTTTTGGATTTGGGCCTTTTTGATTCATCATTCTTTTGCATGCAATTTTGTATTCTTGAAAATAACCAGAAGAAATTGTATATATTAGACAGGTTTGATGAATGATAGGTGAATTTAAGAACCCATTTCGACCTTGAGATAATTAACATAGCCTTATTATGGTTCTTTCTTTCTTTGTGATTAAATGTCAAGTGCAATAACATTTTAGCTTCAACTGACGTTTGTGATCCCGAAGGGTTTACTAAGCTGTTCGTCAATGGCTTTCAGATCTTTTATTTTGTAAACGTACATTAACAGAGACATGTGTGAGTATGTAATATGTATGTACTTATTTGCATACATATTTAATACACCAGTGAAAAGAAAATAATTAGTGACTTATGGTTATGCACCTGCATTTTATTTCTTTCTGAAAAGTGTGGATATTACCTGAATTAATCAAACAAGCTAATCGTTTGAATCATTTGGAGGCACTTCTATGTATGCCTCCGAAGAAAAGAACTACTGTTCATAATTTTTCCAGTTATGTTTTGAATTTTCTTGTATTGTACGTAGCACCTTCTATTTTCATCATGTGTTGGGGTTTATATATTGCTGTGGCTGCAAATAGATTGATACATAATAGCAATATTATTTTTGTTCTCAATGGACATGTATTTTCTGGTACTAATGTCTTGGTGATTCTATTGATTTAATAGGGATGCTGACAAGACAATTTATGAGCGTCTACAAAAAGAATTTGAAGCTGCACGGGCTTTACAAACTCAAGGTATCTTTGAAAAAAGAGCAATGCTAGGCATTCCACATTTGTATACCACATTGTGTACCACCTCTCTAATAGAGGTGGAGCCCACCAATACAATGGGGCTCACCTCTTTTAGAGAGGTGGTACACAATGTGGTATACAAATGTGGTATGACTAGCATTTTTGTTGAAAAAAAAGTTATGTGTTAATGCTTCATTTCAAAAGTAATCAGTAGTATCTAGCTTTGCATCACGTCAAGTTTCTTTTTCTTTTCTTCATGGGTTCCTAAATGCTGTTGGAGGAGGGCAAAGGTGGGGTGTGATACCTCAATTCCCATATCCTCTGTGTACTGGGGTGATCTTAGGGCTGTATACTGGTATAAGGAACCCAACCATGATCAGGTTGTGGTATTTTAGGTCGTGGATAAGTGTGAAATCAATCTCTTGATGAGGATGCTAGCAACTAAAAGGGGAATACATTTATACCCTGAGTCCCACAAGGGATGTGTTGGATTTACTAGTCTTGATGGCTAACCTGTTTTGGAATTACTGTGGTTTCCATTTCAGAGATCTTAGAGATAACTTAAGCTGAATGTATAAATAACAATATAACTCATCCATATTCTAAATGCTTTCTCTCCAAGTCTTCCTATTGATTGAAAGGTTGTGTAAGCTTTGTTTGTGTTAATTTTTTAAATAATTTTGGTTCATCTCCTCTGGTTTGGTTAAGAAGTAAAATATATCTTTTATTGCAGAGATTTATTTGGATGGTGAACAATGGAATGATGGACTACTAGCTACAATAAGAGAGCGGGTATGGTTTTATCCAATACTTTAAAAGTGATTGGGATTTACTGTGGTTCCCTTTAATCCTTTGATGTTAGAATTCAGTGATTGATTCGATATTCAATTTTCTTTAGGCTGTTTCATGTGTAACATGAACAAATGCCTAATCTAATTGAGTCATAATTTAATCAGGTTCACATGGAGGTTGACAGAAAGGCAATGGCGGGAGACGTAAACATGTTGCCTGGTCCTCAAATCCAAGAAAAAATTACTTATAAAGTCGGAAATAAGGTAATTTTGGGAAGTTTATTTTAATCAATAATGGGGGGTTGGGTCATGATTATCCATAGCATGGTTAGAGAAATACCTCCTTTGAAAGGCCAAGACAGGGCTATTTGCAAACCAAGAAGCCTTTCTGGTTGAAGAATAACTGTGCATTGTTGTAAATCAGGTCATGAGAATTTTAATAATTTCTTTTAAATCTAGTTTCCAAAGAGTGAAAATAAATACAAACGTCAATGCCAGGATCCAAGGAAGGTTGTTAAAGGAAAATCTGGTTAAAATCCAGTTGTAGTTTGTACATGTTAGATACCATTATACATATGGAAATCTTTATTTGATAATTTTATTGAGTATTGTTTTGGGGTGAGAGTTTTCCTGAATATTGTCTTAATTGTGAACAGGTGATTTGTTGTTTGGAAGGGGCTAGAATTGGCATTCTGTATGAGACATCTTATGCAGGTATGCTGTGAAGTAACTGATTTTAATTGTTTAGTAATCCAAGTGTCTAGCTTTGGTATCATGTCTTTTTTGTAATGTTAGCAAAAAGTATCATTTTTCGATGTGACATCATTATTCTGCTGCTTGTAATCTTCCACTAGAAAACTGAAGGTTGATACTTGATAATTCAGTTTATCAAGATTGGTGAAACGGCTGGATCAGTTCCCCCCATTTTTTGTTTCTTAATTTAGTACTTTCTGGTAATTTACAAGATACCATTTGCACCTAGCACAAGTATCTTGGTGGTAAAATGATTGTTTTAGTATCCTAAGTTTGAATATAGGCCCTAGGGTCACCCACATATGGGCCATTTGACCCTTTCATTTTTTCAGTTGCCTAATAGGTTGGCTTAGGGCTTATATACATTATAGACAAAACATATTTTTACTCTCGATTAAGAAAAAAAATCTTCAATGAGGTTGTAAGCGCATTCATCATTTTCGGCTCTAGCACTGGAGAAGATGACTCATCTGCATCTGCATCTGCAATGGTGCAGGAGAACCTTGTGACCTGTACCATTGTGTGCTTGAGAGCAAGTCATTTCTTGAGAAGATGACTGTCCTTGAACACACCATTCCATATTTTTTGCCATTACGAGAAGCAGAAAATGATCTTCTTTCTTCTAATGCTATGGTAAGAATGGTTTCCTGCACTGGCCTTGCTGACTCAAATATAGTACCGGGTATGATATTAATCCTTGGTGATCTGCTTTCAGAAATTTATAGATTACATTGGAGAGCTTTTGCAGTCTTACGTGGATAGAAGGGAACAGGTATGCTGTTGGCATTTGTAAACATTATCAGAGAGTGTGTCTATTTCAAAATGTAAAATAGATTAGAGTTGGGTGAAGGGTGTGTTATCTCCTTTTTTCCATCCCGCATCCATGAAATAGTGATATCTGCGAAGTTCATATTAAAATTGGAAATGTTGAAAAGCTGGTCAGAGGGTTTTCTATTTTGGAGGCAGGGATATAAGTTATAACAGCTGTCTTGCATTCCTTTATCTTTGGGTTTCACCTATTTATCCCCACACAATATTTTCATGAACAACAAAGATTTAATTTGTTACTACTTCAACTTCACGGATTGTCATTCTTATCAACGAAAAATTTATTGATTGTCATGCAGGTTCGGCTTGCCAAGGAGTTATATGGGAACCAGATTAAAGAAATTTATTATACCCTTCCCTACAACTTAATTGCCTTTTCACTAGTTGATTTTGATTGGTTGGTGCATTTTTTCCCCCTGCATTATACTTTGTATTTCTATTTTTATATTTTTAAATATCAGTGGAATAACATCTTGTGGTGCCAAATATATTAGTAATTAATCATATGTCAGCACATTCATTTCACGTGGGTGACTGAACATATTAGTAATAGCTCACACAGTTTTGAAGTATCCCATACCCGTTCCTTGTAAAGGTGGGGTATCTTTTGAGCTTGGCAATTTGTTCCTGAAGCTTCCAAGTTACCATATCTGGCTTGTCTGGCAGACAATCAATAGCTTTTTCCTCAATAGGACAATGATAAATTTGCTCACTTCTATGTTCCTTTGACAAGACAAAAGTATTTGATTCTGTCTGTTGCCTTCTATCATTTTCACATGATATTGACTGTTAGTCATAAAACTAAATTACACCAGGTTGATTGTCATATTGGTTGCAGGCATGATTAGATAAATCCTCACAAAGAGGTTTCCATCATGCTGAAGAATGTCTGTTTCTTTTTGCAGCAAGGTAATAGTTAAGCTTAAATATTCGGAGCTTGTTTCCGTACTTCCAACTCATGTCAGTGTGGTAGCATGGCCAGTGCATCAATACAGGAAAACAAGTCTAAATGCATCAACCATGAACAAAAAGGAAAACGGATCCTTGGAAGGTCCAACTACCCTCTCCTATGCAGAGGATGCCTTGCAAAATATGAGCTTACCTGAAGGTATTCTTTCAAGTTGACGACTTTTTTTGTTGCTTACTACTTCCAATATAAATGATATTCAAAATTTTGATGAGGTCTCCCTCGCTACTTTGTCCTCCTGATGATACTTGACTATTTTTTTCTTTTGGTCTAGGATTATGTTTGAAATATAACAAAACAACCCGTTCCAACTTTAATGTTAAGATCAAAGAGACAGTTTAATGGCTCCAAAACACTTTTGTTGGGCACTTTTTACAGCGCTGTTCCTGTATAGGCTTTGCATGCATATGCATTTCTGATGGTTTTTCTGTCTATTGTGTGCTTCTACTCCAGCATATGCAGAGATTGTGTTGAATTTGCCACAAGCTCTTCGGGATATATGTGAGGGGTCCTCTTAATGCTACACCAGTCGGAACATCTGAATTTGTACAAAACCATAGCAAAAATGGTGCTGCTGGGATACCTTTAGTTGTTTAGCATTAGAGTACTAACCAAACTATTCGTGAGACAATTTCTAGGCTAAAATAGCAATAGGGTTGATTTTGGCAATTTGTATATTCGAGTATCACCTACTCATTATCCCTCGGAGACATCTGTATCAGGCTGTCCGATCTATTTTATTTGTGCCATCATTTTAGTTAAGGCCATTTTAGACTTGAATAAATCTCGTTTCCAAAATTAGATGCTGCAAAGAAGTACAGCTCCCAGATTTTCAAATTTGCCCTTTCATTTGTCTACAAATAGACTTGCTCCCGTATTTCAAAAACAACTCAAACAATTCTACACCATCTACATTCTGCATGAGAAGGTAATTGAGACCATAAAATGAACCCGTTTCCCTCTAAATCATGGATACACTGTTTTCTTAGCTATGCACGCAGCTCCAATAGACCTCTGGTTGATCAAACAGTGGATTATTGAAGGGAATTCGAGACAAGTGTAACTTCTCACATCTTCTCAATGGGTTCAAAGATACCAATGTCTTCAGCTTGTTGCATTTTACGACGGCTTTGCTTCTGAAACTCCTAGGCAGGTTCATAGAGGCCTAACATGTGCCCATCGATACATCGCACGGCCGCAACCTGGACACGAAAAAACTGTTATGTAACAACATCATTGCATCCAGCATAGCAAAAATAATGTACAAATGGATGAATTATGGCATTGTCAAAGGTGTGTCTAGAAATTTAGTCATCACCTTCCCATGGATTTCGTATTTGATAGGACCGTCTAGTTTAGCTCCTAATGCCATCAACCTTGTCACTGTGTGATTAATGTCTGGGACTGTGAAAGACATGAGAGAAGAGTACCCCTCCTGCATCACATGGTCACTATGAAACTGCATTATTAGCATCTGCCATTTTCAATTAGAGGCAAAACCCATATGCAATTAATTGTTCAAACAAACCCATCTAGCCAATGGACACAAGAAAAGCATAATGCCACCATGTTAATGGGATCAAACCCCAAGAACCAAGACTTTCTGAAGTTGGGTTTATTTTACTCATCACCTTTTTTTCTTCTGAAAAACAAAAACAGACGTTATGCTTTTTTTATGGCAAAGGGTGTGTAAACAACTCTTTTAGACATACAATCAAACACTTAATATGCATTGAGAGCGCCCAGTCTCAGAGAAAGAAAGTTACTTGGGGGAATGCATGAGGGCAAGCTTGAGTGGGCCCGACTGAAGCTCAGCCCAGCGGAGAGTGCAGACATTTACGGAGAAGTCCAAGCCTTGGGCGTAGAAGCCAGCGGCTTTTGGTACGTCCTTGTGCAACTGCAGTATCCACCTAAACGACGCCGCTGCCATTTCCCTCTCTTTCTTTCTTCCAAGGCCGCGCTTGCGCTGATAGTGATACAGAGATTGAAGAATTGGGAATAGGGATGTGCCAATAGAATACGACACGTCGTTTGGATGGTCGCACATGTCTAAAGCCCAAAGTCAACTGATGTTGCAATAGTGGGCTAAAGTTAGGTTTGGGTCCATGTCATGAGCTAGCCCGAAGCTATAAAGCTCATAGTGGTCTCTCCTCTAAAACCCTAGCTGAATATGTGTATGGACAAAAAACTTTAAAAAAATCCAAAACACTCAAAAGGGCAACAAAGTAATTTCATAATCAAAATTAATAATTAATAGGGCCAGCTGTCATTTTTTGAGTTTGTTTATAGAAATCAATTGATGTATGGTTTATTTATAGTTTTAGTGCTAAGAATGAATATATGACTAAATATCTCAAAAAAGGAACACAGAATGTAAAAACATTAATTAATTGTATTTATTTGTTTATCAATCGCATGCGAATAGGAATATGCTATGCAACCATGAATCACATGAGCAAGACAAGATCTGTTTAATAACTTTTATTAAGCAGATAATTTGTATTATATATTATAGCTTTGTCTATATTTGTTTTGTTATGCTCTCTTTTTTGAAATTATGACCTCCTTCTTTTTTAATTGTCCTAAAGATGGAAGGGAATATAGGAAAATTATATAACATATGAATAGCCCATGATGCAATTGGCAGCAATTGTCATTTGGCAAGACACAAGAAGGTTTCTTTTCTGTCTAGATTGAACTATAATAAGAATTCAACCATGTGGGCTGCCTCCATTCAAACAAATCAATAATACTACATTGTTACCGATATTTTATTTTCTGGGTGATCCATGTGGCAGTGTTTCAAGGGTGCCTTTGTTCTTTTCTTTTTTTTGAAGAGAAACTAAACTTGGACCTCTTCCAACATTGGAAAGAAAATACCGATAAATCAAAAGTTAATTAGTAAGATGGCTGCAGACTAGAGATCTCATATTTGAACCCTATAGCATCTTAGTTGTTTGTGTGTGAAAAACTCATATCCCTTGTAGTTTAGACTATCACGTATAAAAAAAATTGTAAGCCGACTGCCATTTAAAAAACAATGCAACATTCTCCCACTGAGATTTTATTTATTGGGTAAATCTTACTTTAACAGTATAGTTTGAACTTTTATTCTTAACTTATTTACCAAAAACCAAAAACAAAAAACTTATTATTCTCACTCATATGCATCATCAATTGTTCCTCAAAGTCCACATGGCAACAAAAAAGAGCCATAAAGCAAATTTGGAGGCTAGCCAAGCATCACATTGTGTAGAAACTAGAGAGCAGTAATGGTCTCATAGATTTCTAAGAACTAGATGCTTGTCATGTGCCAAATAGATTGGGCACAACGACAGAGCAGCAGGAACCAAAATCACTTTACTTTTAATCTTTCAATAATGTCAGAGCCCCTAGGACAAGCCTAAACATCCAAAAACCCAAACGCATCTTTATCAACATGCCAGCCAGAATGCTTGTCAATTTGTCGTGCACCCAGTTTTCAAATCCTCCTCCTTTTTTACCCAAGCATCCCTTTATGGGTTTCATTATTATTATTGTTCAATACCAACTCTTATTAACTCCTTTTAAGATTCTTGACAGACAAGGCCAACCCACCTCATATCATTCTTGTAATACATCTATATATATTTATGCAATCAAGAAACTGACTTGAAACAATTCCAACTTCAAGCAATGAATGTTCAAAGCCTTTTCTCTCTTCTTCTTCTTCTTGTCCTCTCGAAGACAGCTCATGCTCAGCTTCATGTAGAACATTACAGAAGCTCATGCCCAAATGTTGAAGCAATTGTGCATGCTGCGGTCAAACAGAAGTTTGAGCAGACATTTGTGACAGCTCCAGCCACTCTGAGGCTCTTCTTCCATGATTGTTTCATCCGGGTACTTGGGGTTTTTTCTCCTAACACAAAATTTACATTTTTGCATATACGTATACAAATTTATATATTTATACATGCAACTGCAACAATGAGTGTGAGATTTTTGGCTATATAGGGATGTGATGCTTCAATAATGCTAGCTTTTCGGAACAATTCAGCGGAGAAGGACAACTCCGATAACCTTTCGCTCGCCGGAGACGGGTTTGATACCGTGATCAAAGCCAAGGCTGCTGTTGATAGAGTGCCCCAGTGCAGGAACAAGGTTTCTTGTGCTGACATTCTGGCCTTGGCCACAAGGGATGTCGTAAGACTGGTAAACAAAGCAAGGAAGTACCATTATTTCTTTTGTCTCTTTTAGGTTAAGGGATTATGGTAACCGCACTTTTTACTAAGAAAATTCTTGTTTCAGCAAATCTCTTACAAGAAATAGAAGGATCCAATGTGATCAAGGGTTTATGCACTGTGCATTCACATGAAGTGCTATCCAGTGCAGAGTCCATTTTCACCTCAATGTGGGGTGCAAAAGCACTTTGTCCCTTTTCACTGCTTGAAAAATTTAAAAGAAAGAAAAAGGAATTTTCTTTGAACATTCCATATTAAGTCAAAATAATGTGCATGCTTTTAACGCATTTTCTTGGTCTTGGTGCAGACTGGGGGACCGTATTACAGAGTTGAATTGGGAAGACTTGATGGGAGGATTTCTACAAAAGCCAGTGTGAGACAACATCTTCCTCATCCTGATTTTAGGTTAGACCAGCTGAATTCGATGTTCGCCTCCCACGGTCTCTCTCTGACCGATCTCATTGCACTCTCAGGTACTTGAAGAACCAAAAATCTTATACAGAACAAAAAAAAAAACAAAGTTATGCAGAACCTATTCTCTTGGTCTTGTTTTTTCATTTTCTTTGTTGTAGGTGCACATACAATTGGATTCTCGCACTGCAACAAATTCACTCACCGGATATACAGTTTCAAAAGCCAGAACAGAATTGATCCAACGATGAACTTGGCATATGCAAGGCATCTCAAACAAGAGTGTCCGGCAAATGTAGACCCCAGAATTGCTGTTAACATGGACCCAACCACACCCCAAAAGTTCGACAATGTCTACTACAAGAACCTTCAGCAAGGAAAAGGGTTGTTTACTTCTGATCAGTCTTTGTTCACTGACGCCAGATCAAGAAAAATTGTCAACTTGTTTGCAGCAGACGCCGCCGCTTTCGAACGGGCTTTTGTGGCTGCCATGACAAAGCTCGGAAGATTTGGAGTTAAGAATGGAAAGCAGGGTGAAATTAGGCATGATTGTGCTGCTGTGAACTAAGATTATGTAGCATGCATTGTAGCTTTGCTTGTAAAAAACTAATTAGCTAAGTTCTTCTAATGAATTTCATATGTAATATTTGCTTATTTTGACCATCATCATTCTTGGCACTGTCCCATCATCATCATTCTTGGCTCTGCCCCATGCCATTGTTTCACGATATGGGAGAAAAGCAATTAGGTGGGAATGATTGTGATGTCCAACCTGCCACCTTCTGACGTAGGTTGTCTAAGTAAGTGGGACAGTTTGGGATTGCTACGTATTGTATAAACACTTATATTAAAAATTCAAGTAAGAAGAAACCCAAAAACACTTTCAAGTTTTCCTGCCACCCAGAGTAGTGTGTTTGTTTTCCATTATAAGGTAAGACGAAGTATACTATTTTGTTAGAAATTCGATAAGAAAACATTGAGAATGTGAAAATATGCCTTTGCAAATACACAGAGTCCACGAAGAAATAACGAAAGAAGCGAGCCTGAAAAGAACAACCCAATTAAAAACACCAAAAACTCTAGCAAAGCCGTTTAAAAGAAGTAAGATCTCTTGTTTTCAATGTTGATTTTAATTAAAAAAACATCCCACTCAAATTTCTATTTCCAACAAGAATTCTAGAAATTTCATTATCAACCATCAAAGGAAATGCTTTTCAGGTGTTCATAATAACGGATCCTTATTACTTCTTTGTACTATGTACAGTAAAATAACGCAAAAGACATAGCGCCACCAATCGCATGACGGACGATATTGAGTAAAAACCCAAATAGTAAAACTGTAATTTAAGTTATTTTGGCTACAAAAGAGGCATCCCCTGCTAAATTGGCATCAAAAGTAAACTAGTTGAAATTTCTTTTCTAGGAAGAGGAGTATTACCCTAATCTAAGACACAAGGTTATTACTAAAGAGCTTCATCATCATCGTCGTCGTTCATTTTTCGCTTCTCATTCAAGGTAGAAGCATAAGCCTCTTTGTTCTCCTTTAAGAAAGCTCTCCCTCAAACTGTATAATGTTGTTGAATTGTGTCGATGTCGAGTCCTTTGAGCTTCACAACTGACTCAACATGACCCTTCAGTGTGTGCAACTCCCGCAGCCTGCAACGACAACAGGAAACGAATTGTCTTAGAATCTCAAATAATAACTTCTGCATTACAAAGTGCATAGGCATAACCGGCAAGCATGAAACTATCTCCGTGTTTAAGTGGCATAGCTGTGCATTTTCCCGGAACGAATTGAGTACACATGGTGCTTACCTTGCAACCTCAGCCCTCCTCTTGGCTTGTTCTGCGATCTCTGAAAGCTCCCTGTAACTGTTCTTTTCACTGAAAAGGTTGTTGGTTTCTGGTGGTTGAAGGCCATGTAGGGTCCTCTGAGCAGCAGCCCACTGAGCTTCTCTCTCCTCTTTCCCATAGTCTTTCTTTGTAGTAAAAGCAGTCTGTTATGGAAAAACATAGAATGAGGTCAATTATGAACATGCAGAATCTATCTAACTAAATACTTGACTGTGCCTCTTATTTCAAAGAATTATCATTCAGCAGCATACCTTGTTCTCCAAAAGGTTATCCCAAGCTTTCCCACTTAGAATGTAGCGGATTGCGAATTTAAGTAAGTCGAGAGGGAAATATGTCACCACGCTGAATAGCCAGATTACACCAGCCCAGCCCCAGCCACATCCCTCTATCCGTGCGAAAGCCCAGTTTGCATAGACTGCTATGAGGGTTGCTACCTGTTATTTTGCAGAATCAGCAACCATTTTAGAAAGTGAAAATATGAAAAATAAATACATTCCTCTGCGTTTATACCTGAGTTCAGGTTCGTAAAAAGAGTGAGTCATGAGAGACAAGAATCCCAACACCATATTGTTTTTACTTGACCAAACACACTAGACACATATTTCTAGATTAATCCCATTGACATTATTGGAAATTCCTAAGAATTCTTAAAGCTTAATATTATCCCATTTGAAGCCTTGTATAAAAATGCATGCAGAAGAGTACAACTACAGAAGCATACAAGACAGAAACATCCAGTACAGTACTTGGTATGTATAATTCTAAAGAAGTATCAGTTGCCTAAATGCTTACCAGTTGAGCAATCATGAAAGCTCCGAGTAAGAGAAGTCCAGGACGTTCAACAAAAGACCAGCTACGAGACCTTGTGACGAAAATAAGGGCTTGGCTAACAATACTCACTTGTAAAGCTACAATGCTGCCATCATTTGTTCAGGTCTAATTACTGCCCACCAAATGTCTTACACCAAATGCGTAACAAAAAAAAAAAAAAAAAAAAAAAAAAAAAAAAAGGGTGAAAAATCAAAAATTTGAAGATCCTTACCTAACAAATGTGAGCTTCATAGCTTATATATTAACGGAAGATACAAGAATTATATTCCTACCGAGAAGAATTTGGTATCTCTCATAAGCCAGAAGAAGACAACTGTCATTAGCGCCATGTAACCTCCAAGAACAATGCCAGTAGCAAAAATTTCTCTCAGTTTCCAGCTGTCTGGCTGAGGAGATGGCTTCACTCGGTCCTTTGATATTGTCATGATTGTTCCTAGCAGAATTGTACGTGCAAACTCAGACTCATTTATCACTCTAATGTACAACTGTAAATCGTTCACACAGATATGTGTATAATCTTACCATCATTTAGGATGGCGATGATCAATACCATGAAGGGTGCAAAGTCAAACTTCCATATCAATGCAATGAACATAAATCCAAACTGCACAAATTTTTGCATAATGAGAATAAATAAATAAGACCTAAAATAGGAAAAGCACCACTAGCATCTCAAAAATGATCACTGCTTCACTTACCACTATACGTATGGTAATAGAAACAGCATAGATCTGCAAAATGGAACAAATTAAGTAGTGTGGCCTGAAAACATTTAAACACCTATAGATAGACAACATGAAAGAATATAAAGAACATAAATGTAACTAACAGTATAGTTCTTCATCCTCTGGAATATGGCCCTGCTTGTCAGTACTGCACTTATGATCACACTTAAACCTGGTTCAGTGAGAACAATATCCGAAGCACTTCTAGCAGCATCAGTAGCGTCAGCTACAGCAATACCGATGTCTGCTTTTTTCAAAGCAGGAGCATCATTGACACCATCTCCTGTCATTCCACAGATGTGCTTCCTCTCCTGTAGCCTCTTTACAATTTCATATTTGTGTTCTATTATACCAAAAAGAGGTGTTAGAACAAGGGTCAATATCCAGTTAAAAATAGAAATATACTGCGAAAATTTACTTATCAATTGAATTGATTATAATTTAAAAAAATTAAAAAAAATGTGGCACATTGTGAAAGTGCAACCAAGCACTGAAGGCAAAGAAAGTGACAGGGTCACTCATTTTCAATTTTCCGAGACAAAACTTAAAAACATAGTGAACGGCAAACACTTTGAACATTATCGAGTGTAGGCTGAATTTTAACCAATTACAAATGCTTTTTCCATTATACCTACTACCAAGAAAGTTCAGGAGTATAACTTCTCTTTAAAATAGAGTGTGTGTTAGAGAAAGAAAAGGGAAGTTCCAAGAACCCACCTGGAAATACTCCAGCAAACCCATCAGCCTTCTCAATCAATTCATCCACAGGGAGGGAAGCAATGGATGCATCCTTGTCTTGGCCAAGCAATGCGGAAGATGGGTACATGTTTGTTCCCATCCCAAGCCTCCTTCCAGTTTCCTTGCCAATGGCAAGCTGATCCCCTACAAGATGGAGGCACGAATTTTACAGAATCTACAAAACATCAAAAGTTCCCATACGGGAGAAAAAGGGGGACGGACTACATGTAATCATGGTATTTTACAAAGATTAAGGGGAAATGCAACCTACCAGTAATCATCTTCACATTCACACCGAGATTGAGAGCTCTGCGAATTGTGTCTGCACTGTCATGCCTGGGAGGATCAAATAATGGCAACAAACCAACAAACTGCCATGGTGTCCCTGGACTCTCTTTTGTTTTCTCTGGTACTTGCTGAGGACAAACCGAAAATAGATATGAGATCAGGGAGTTCGGTTGACAAAAGAACAAGCACAGAATAAAGGTTCATTTTGCAAACCTGTCTTGCAACGGCTAGAGAACGAAGTCCACGTTCAGCAAACTTATCAATCACTGCATGAACCCTTTTCTTGAAATCTTCCTTGCAGTTGCACAGGGCTAATATCTGTCACAAAGGATAGAAACATCTGAATATTTTATGCAGTGGGAGAGAGATACTTCTTGTTCAATACCTAAAATTGAGGTAAGACAATGTTACCTGCTCAGGGGCACCTTTGCTAGCCCTATGCCAGTTTCCATCAGAATCAATGTAGGTCAGAGCAGTCCTCTTTTCTACAGGGTTGAATGGAAGGAAATGGACTTCTCTGATACCAGCTCGTGCCTGCCCAAATTGATATATGACATAGAAAAGTCTCATTATAAAGGCTTGGACCTAAATGGCTGAAAGGGTAAAAGACAAATGTGAGACAAATTACCTCCTTCGGATCAGCAAGCATTCCTACAATTGCAGCATCAATAGCATCCTGATTTTCAGTCCTAGAAGCTCTTGCAGCAAGAAGCATAACATGCTCTTTCTCCACACCCTTGACAAACACTTCAATCAGATTTCTGTCAACTGTCAGCTTGTTCAGGGTCAGAGTCCCAGTCTTGTCACTGCAGAGGACATCCATGCCAGCCATTTCCTCAATAGCAGTCATTCTTTTGGTAATAGCACCTTGCTGAGAAAGCCTGTGGGAGCCAATAGCCATGGTGACAGATAAAACAGTTGGCATGGCAATTGGGATTCCTCCAATCAAGAGAACCAGCAAATTGTCAATCCCATCCCTGTACCTGCGCTTCTGTATTGGGTACATAACTATAAGCTCAATTAGTATCCCCACAGCAATTGAACAAATGCAGAAGTTCCCAATAGCAGTGAGAACTTTCTGAAAGTGCCCAACTTGATTGGTGCTGTCCACCAGATGTGCAGCTTTACCAAAGAAGGTGTGCACACCAGTGGCAATCACAACTGCTTCAATTTCACCCTGTTTACATGTTGAGCCAGAAAACACTTCATCTGAGGGATTCTTAGTAACAGGAAGGGACTCGCCAGTAAGCGCAGATTGATCAATTTTTAAAGGATCACCCTCGAGAAGGCGGGCATCAGCAGGAACTATATCTCCCAATTTAATACTGATTATGTCTCCAGGGACCAAAATTGAAGCATCTTGCTCAGTCCATCGACCATCTCTAAGAACCTACATCAGGTCACCATAAAAAGTAAGGAAAACATTCAATAAAATATGTGCAGGACCAATACAAGTATTTAGGATTGTTCAACATTTTTTCTTCACCTTAGTCTTGGGAGCAAGACCAGCCATGAGGGCTGCAGCCGCATTTCCAGCATTGTTTTCTTCAATGAAACTTATAGTAGAGTTAATGACCAGCAGGACAACTATTCCAACAAAGTCCTGCCAATCGGGAGGCCTTCCACCACCATTTGCCAAGGCTATAGCCATCAAAGCAGCAGCTTCCATGACCCAGGATAAAGGATTCCACATAAATCCCAAGAACTTGAGTAGTTTGCTCTCCTGTTTACAAAAGATCAAATCGTTATATGTTACACCGAAAGACATATATATGAGGAGGAGGAAAAGATTTTCCATATAATAGAAATTGTAAACAAACCTTTTTCTCTTCTAATTTGTTTGGTCCAAACACTTGAAGCCGGTTGGCTCCTTCGTCTCCGGTTAGACCTTCTCTTGTACATTTTAGCTGCTCAAAGACTTCTTCTATTGGAATCCGTTCCTGTGAAGAAGAAAAAATTATACATCAATGAGCAATTTACTTCATTGGGGATGGATAATACATGCAACCAACCGTTTTCTGTACTATGAAACTCAAGAGAATATTTACTTTTTTTCTTTTTATCAAAATTTGGAATTAATCAAAATTGATTATAAACACCACCAGCACACGCTGTTGCACATTGTTTAGAGCCAACCCGACGTGCATGATATTTCAATTGCGTTGTTCATGGTTAAGTTTTGTGCTACACAGAGTCAATTATGGCGTACAGAAAGCAACTTATTGCAAGAACTCTCTATTGCACCAAAATTTTACTTTCAGTAAGCAAAAGTTAACAGATCATTAATGATTTATTTTTTTTTTTTTTTTTTTTTTTTTTTTTTTTTGTAAACAGAAAATTCAACAGCTGGGTTTCCACAGGTTAGCAATCAATAGATTCACGAAATAGATGTGTGAACAGATGGGAACCGCTTTAGCTCACTGCTCATGGGAAACTTGAAAGAACCCAAGTCGTGCCCAATAACAATATTGCAAGGACAAAAAGTCGAACATTACTGTATCACTTATTGACTTCATGACATATGGGTATTAATAAAATTAAATAGTTTATTACAAGTAGTATGAATAAACAATTTGACACTTAACAAAAAAAAGAAAGAAATATCCAAGCATATATGAAGTACAAGCAAGGTACTCGCAACGCCCAAATCCCAAAACAAGAAAAGTACTTTAAAACAAGAAAGCTTAAAAATACCACGGAGAAGTTGGCAACTATAGAATAACAAAGAAACCAACAACCCAGGTCTTAAATGGAATTATTCAATCAACCCTCCAAATAAAAATTGTGAATCCATTGCTAAATCAAAATTATTTTTTCCTTAATATAAAAATATTTCTAAATCGCCAAATAAGGTACGTAGCAAACACGCATTTAAAAGGGCGCGTATTGGTAATTTAATATTCGGTTGTCAGCCATGTTCTCTAATAAAGCAGCGTGCGTTGTCAAGCCGCTGATTCCATGTGACCTTCGGGTGTGCGTACCTTACCCACACTCCTCTGTAAAGCGCAGACCATACAAATATTTTTTATAAACATTTTCCAGAAACAAAAACCGTAACCTTTTTAATTTTGATTTTTGTTTCCTCGTTCGGATTGTGTGTGTTACCGTATGGGGCTCTGTAAAATAGAAATAAATATATTTCTTTGCAAAACAGCTTGGAATAAAAGCAATAGGAGAGAGGAATCTGGTCCGTTCATATACGGCCCTGGGCCCACCAAAGGTGACCCTAACGATTCGGATGAAAACTGTGGCCTGGAAAAGGTTTTCTCGTGTCCTCTCTATCTCTATGATCATCGCCGAAATGACAGACTAGAACAAAACTTAAAAGTCACGCCGCCGATTTAAACAAAAAACAAAAAGAAAACAAGAGTACGAAAAAAAAAGAAGAGAAATTATTTAATTTTTGGAATTTTTTATATATATATTTTATAGATGAATACCAACGATGAAATGATATATCCTGCTACTGTTTGGTAGGCCAGAAAGATAGTACGGAAACCGGTAAAACAGGAAAGCAAGTAAAATATTAGTCGATCAGAGAAAATTAAAGTCGTCAAAGTGAGAACTAATCACTCAAAAGAAAGGAAAAGAACTCACGATATTGATAACACAAAAACACAAAAAATTTGTACAATTTCAATTAGATCGGAGTTTTTCATAACATTTTCTTTTGTTCCACGCCATCATTTTCTGGGCAGCCAAACACATGCAGCAGCGCAAAACAGAGAAATAAAAGAGAGAGTGTACGGATACAAATATATACCAGATCGACGGACTCGTTTTTGATCTCCTCGAGGCTGATGGCCTTGTCGCCGCCCATGGCTGAGAGTAGCGGTGAGCTCGGAGGAGCTCAGAGCTGCAGAGACAAGTGGAGATTAGGTTCTGAACAAAAACCGAAAAGAAGGAGGGCCGGGTATTTATAGTGTGAAAAGCCCTAGAGAGTCATAGTCAGAGAAGAACGACTACCCACCATGAAAAGTCTCTCGGATGATGATGAGGTAAGCCGAATCGGGTCCGGTTTCAGATTCCGGGTCTGAGTTTTCGGGGCAGCCAGATATATAGAGAGAGAGAGAGAGAGAGAGAGAGAGTGAATACGAATGAATGAAGGAGAGCTAAAGAGTCCACACTGGTTGTGATTGATATATATAGGGCCTGACTTTGGGAGGGGGTGGGGCCTACTGGGACCCCAAAACGCTCTCGTTTTTGACCTGCCACACCCTCTCTCTCCCCTTGCGCAATGCGGCGCGTGGACGAATAGTGGAGGGAGCCCGTGAAGGTGTTGGCTTTTAGGCAGTAATCTGGTGAGTTTAGTAACGGACTGAGGGGAAAGACCGTGTTTGCTTTTGTTTTCTAGAGGTTTTTCTTTTTCATTTTTCTTTCTGCTTTATATGTAGAGTTGACTGATTAATTTCCTTTGCCTTTTTTTTTGGAATTTTTTTTATTTTAGGGTTATTTGAATTTTCTTTTTCTTTTCCTTCTCCATATAATGCCAAAGCTTCATTAAAACGCTCCAACTGACGAGCATTGCTCTTCTTTTTAAGATTGAAAATTTCCAAATTTGAATTTAATCATTTTGTTGCCTATCTCTCTTAAAAAGATGTGAAATTCGTCGTAAGTCAATAAAAATCACGAATAAAAAAATAAATTTTTAATTATCAAAGAAAAATAAATTGCATTTATAATTTTTTTTTACTATTGAGAAGAAAACTATCGCTAATTTAATCAACTTTGTTTGTCTTACAACATCGAATAAAATTACGGTATTTTCATATTTTAGTAGCTAATAAATTTTTTCCCTATACACTTTGGGTACATTGATTAGACATTAATTGGTGGTTACAAAATGTTTAAGGTTTAGAAACATAATCCCAACATATTTAAGGTTTCCATCATGTCATCACAAAGCTTCTATGGCTGAGATTATTTTAAGGCATTTGCAACACTGAAATAAATCAATCAAAGCCGTGTCCTATTTGACTCATAATCACCTTCAATGGCCAAACATGATGTGTAACAAAATCTAAATCGATCTTATTTATATTTTAATTATTTGTATCGAAAATTCAAATGGATCGATAACCTCATAAAGTGCAACTGTTTAGATCACAGGTTGAGTCCATATCATCCTCCTTTATGCGGTTCTAGTGTTCCACTATGAAAGGTGCAGCTTCTTGGGGTAGGTTGCACAATTGTACCCAAATCCCTTCAACAATCAAACTTTTTGTTCTCTTTTAAATTTTTAAAATTTATTTGATAAGCTCTACAAATATAGTTTGGATAAACCAAGTCGTTTTGTCGAGCTCTAGCCCAATGAAAAAAGGACTTAACTTACTGACAGATAGTCTCATGCTTGAATTCTCATGATACTTTAATAGTGTGCGTGTGAGAAAGTCCTCCTACCCCTTACCAACTTTGGCGAAAAACAAAACCTAGTTGTTTTAATTTTTCTTCATTTAAATGACACCATAAATTAAAATAATTAATAAAATAATTTAAAATACATGCAAATTACACTCAAAATTATATCAATTATAAGGCTTTAAATTAGGCAATTAATTAATAGTTATTGTAATTAATTGCAACCACTTGTTATTGTCAACTATGTTTTTTTTTCTGTTAAATTTGTTTCTGTGATCATGCAACTCTGTTTACAATAATGTTGGACGCATTTTAAAATAATGATTTTTTCTCAGTAACGTATGCAACAATTGTGGAAGTGACCGACAAATTTTCAGAAATGTTCTCTTCTTTTCCTGTTGAACCTCATTGGAAAGAGTAGCGTTTTCTATACTATTATATTATCCTCCCCAAAAGCAGGTTGCATGTGTTTAACTTGGAGAATAAAGGCCATTACAATAACTATTCTCTTACTAAATTATCTGCTTATTGTATAAATGTATTATTCATATTCGTAGTGTTACAACATTAGGTAAATTGATTTGTCAACGAGATCTAGTTCAGTAAAAATAAGGTATTGACTAGAAGAGCAGTGGTTTCAAACTTGAATCATCATGACATTTTGGTAGTGTGAGTAAGAATACATTTCCTTATAATTTAGATCATCGCTTATATTAAACAAATTTAATTCAATCAAACAGTGTCACGTAATTTGGTGTATAAAATTTGGTAAACATATTTGATGTCCTTAATTTGACATTATTTCAGTGTTTGCTTTTTCATACCTACCTTATAAATAGTATATTGGTTTTTATATATACGATTTTGGTGCTACAATTAAGCGCTGAGTAAAATAGGCTGAAATCTGCCACCTCATAAAGCTTTTCCGGCGGACTGGAGCGTAAATAAGACGCGACAAACGTGCACGCGTGGGTGACATAAATACTGTTCATGACAGAAATCTATGTCCATCGTAAACCGTCATTAACTCTCTAATCTTTTCCTTTTCAACGGGGGTTACGTGTCAGCTTGTGGTTGCTTGAGGTAGGAAGCTTCCATGCCCTCGGTCAGCCGGTGACATAAATATTGTTCACATATGATAATGAATTTATTAATTTTTGGCCCAAATAAAAAAAGAAAGAATTGATTAATTAATTATTTGTATATGGTTTCCAACCCAAGCCGTTTCGGAGTATTGGAATCCGATGCCCTTTTGTGGAAAAAATTTTAGGAAAGATAAACCTGAAATTTGGGTTATGAACTATATTATTTATATCATTAAAAAAAAAAGAAGAGTATTTATTATATTTAAAATCTGTTTCAAAGTAGCCTAAATTTGCTGCCTTCATTGTCCTATTGTCTCAATCCATTATTAATATTTGTAGTTATAGTAGAAAATGAAGGCAAATATGGATATTGAATAATTGATTGCATCTAGAAAATGAAGGTAATGTCTCGTCATATTGCATGTTGTAAGGTGATAAGTGAATTTTCTAATGGATAAATTTAATTCCCAACAATAAATAAATACAAATAAAAATGGATGAATTTAATTTTCAATATATATATAATGTTATTTGTACCACATTTACTGACTACCTATCTAATTAGGGTTTGTTATTGTGTTGGGTACCTAGATTTTTTGGACTCGTGACGGGCTTTACAAGCTTTTTTAATTTTTCAAGTAGAGCCGAGGTTTCAAATGTCAAGGCTTGAGCCCGCCCATTGGGCCGGGCTCAGTCTTTTATAACTTTTTATTAGTAATTTTTAGACAACATTAAGGGGGCTAATTTTCTCACTCCTCTTTTATTCACTTGTACTCCCTTTGTTGGAAATTGTATGTTCTAACTCTTCTTTTGTCCATTTACACTTCCTTTATATTATAGTAAAAAGTATTAAAAACAAAAGGGAGTGTAAGTAGACAAAAGGGAAGTGAGAAAATCAGCACCCTAAAAATATTAACTTAATTCATAACACGTGTAAAAATATAAAAATAAGTTTATTAATCTATGCTACATATTACATTATTCCAATTAAGGAGTGCACTTGGATGTGGGTTGTAATTTAATTTCTTTTATAAATTTTTGTTACAAATTTTTAGACAACATTGAAAGAATCAACTTAATTCATAACATGTGTAAACAAAATAAAAAGTTTATTAAGTTATCCTACATATTATATTATTTTGATTATGAGGTTAAGAAGTGCATCAATTGAGTCTTTTACCAACAAAAAAAAAAAAAAAAAAAAAACCTAGACCGGCCGTGTCATGCCTTGGCGGGCCTATACGGGACTGGCCGTGGGCGGGCCAAGGGTTCCAAATCCTAAGCCTAAGCCATACCAAATTCAAAAACGAGTCAGGCTAAACGGATTGGGCTATGCTTTGGCTCATCGAGCCTCAGGATGTCTACTTCGACTGATGGGCTTAGGGCCAAATGATGATCGCTATCTCTAATAGTGATAGCTCTTCCAGGGTATGTGGGACCCACCTATATTAGAGAGGTGATCAATAAATATGGTCTAAATAACAATACCCTATAATAAAAAATAAAAAATAAAAAAGGTGACAAGTGGAATTTTTTTTATAAAAAAAAATAAAAATCTTATTGCCCAATATTTTATGTGAGTTGAGTGGTAGTTGTACCAAGGTTTACCCGTAATTTCATTAACTTAGTGCCCGTTTGGCATTGCTTATTTGGGGTGATAAGTGATTTGTGATTTTAAAAAAAATTTGGGGAGCCCAGCCTGTTTAGTGAACTATGAGAAAATCACTTATTGTTAAAAATTGCTATGAGAGAAATTTATAAGGGAAAGCAACTAATGAGGTGCTTTTATTTTCTCATTATGTGGGAATCAGTTACGAAGAGGAGCTGGGTTTAATGAAATTTACAAACTTTCGAACATACCCTAATCTATTTCACACAATCTCTTATTTTCGTGTGTTTTCTCCTTCACACCCCTTTGCTTCTTCACGCCATCTCTTTCACAAAGTTCTCCTTCTCTTGAATCTCTTCTATTCTTCCTATTATTTTTCTTGTTGAAACAATTGAAGCACACTTCTGAAAAGCCACAAGACTCGGATAAGAGGCATATTATGTTTATTTCTTCTAAAAAATTTACCAAACACTTAGAAAATGATTATTGTACCAACACCACTTTTAATAAAAAGTTTACCAAAAGCCAAATTGTTTTATCTCACAACAAATCTGACAGCGATTTTTTTCAAAGCACAACAATGCCAAACTGGCCTTTAATCTGATAATGAAACGTGATTTCATTCTTAAATAGTATCCAATTTGGATGGGAAATGATATATGGAAATGTTGTGTTACGAAATGAAATTTGGGTACTTGTCCTTATTTGGGGCTTACCATTACTTATTTGGGATAATTTCTTTTCTTTTTGGTTTTTGAGCTCATTTAT